CAAAATCAAATTGAGTGATCTCTGTTTCTTTTTTTTTTTTTTGCTGTAGTAAGAGTCATTAAAGGTATAATTTGCACCAATTATAGTGTTGCTTTAAATGCCTGATTTGATTAATGAAAGGCAGTCACATAACTCAAATGATAGACTGTTTGAGGGAACTAGATTATGTGTTGATTTTAGTTCATTTGGTGATGTACACTGCAGGATTCTGGTGACTTGTCTGGGAAATGTCACAGGTCCCTTGGCCTATTTTCCAGAAGAATTCCTGCAACTGGTCCTGGAAGGAGGGGGATAAAACTGTCTACAGAGCAAAAAACTTTTGGTCCAGGGCACCAAGGGAGTGTTCAGATTCAAATACTAAAATCTTTCTAGGTAAATCACTCAACTGAAGGGTTTCGGTTGCAATATTAGTAGCGTGCAGAAGAGTGGTTATCCCCAAAGGGAGCTGAAGAGAACAAATCCAAGTCAGTCTTTTAGTGACATCATAGCAATTTAAAAATCACAGTTAAAAAATATTTTGAAGACTTAAGGAGTATGGAAAGGGTTAACTCCAAAATCACTATAAAAATAGAAGCATCTTGGTTCTACAGTGGAAGAGGGGAGGGAGGTAAAATTCTTCCCTCTGTTTTTGTTTCTTGTTTTGGAAGGGAGGGTAATGGAGGTTACCCGGCATTTAAGAAAAATACTTGAGAACCAAATGAAGGGTTTCTTCTACCTTCTTTGTGCAAGCCTCTTTTAGGTAGTATTTTGTTTACCTCATTTCAGTTAGTTCTGGCGAATGGGGCAGCCAAGTTCAAGCTGCAGGACCCCTTGCTGTACGGCTTTCCTGCTGTGGATTTCCTGAAGTCCCTGCTTCTCAGGGAGGCTGTGAGTCCCTACCCAGGAGCATTCCTGGGGCTTCGCGCCCTGGTGGACCAATTTATGCTCCACTGTTCCTTCTTGCTCTCTGAGAGCCCTTTATTCCAGCCACTACTCGGCAAATGTCACCATTGTGAGTTTGCCTGGAACCCTGAGGATGAGAAAAAGCCATCTCCCCCCGGGGGGAAGGGAGTGTAGCCCTTACTCCCACCTAAAATGCTGATCCCAGGGCAACACTCTGGTGCTGTCAGGGGACGCCTGCTGACTGACTCACCATGGACATGAGGGCAAGGCTCTAGTGCGGTGTGGCAGAGTGCCCTGTTGGTGACCACAGCAAATTCCTCGGGCCTGTGGTGACTTCCTCTGGGCTGGACTCTGGCCCTCCTCCTCATCTCGGGGGATCCCTCCTCCTGTCTAACCTGTCCCCAGTCTGTCTTCTCAGGACTGTGATAAGGTCACCTGCTGTCTTAGTCGGCCTAGGCTGCTCTAACAAGATACCATAGACTAGGTGATGTGAGCAAGAGACATTTTATTTCTCCCAGGTTTGGAATCAGGAAGTCCAAGATCGGAGTGTCAGCTGACTTGGTGTCTGATGACAGCCTGCTCGCTGGTCTGGAGATGGCCACCTCCTTGCTGGGTCCTCACATGGTGGAAAGATGGCAAGCTCTGGTCTCCTCCTTTTCTTATAAGGACACGAATCCCAGTTTGGGGGCCCCACCCTCATGACCTCATCTCAACCTAATTACCTTCCAAGGGCCCCACCTCCATATATCAGCACATTGGAGATGAGGGCTCCAACACATACAAGGGAGGGGGGAGGACACAAACATTTAATCCATATGACTTGCCACCCAGCATGCACACGTGCGTGTGCACACACACAGACACACACACACAGATATACAGTATCCAGTGTTTTATTCCTATTAGAACTCGCTGTAGCTTGGGGTGATTTGTAAAGTGTAGAAAAGTAAAAGTTACAAATACGCTTTTACTCATTCATGTAGAACGCATGAGACTTTGAAAAGAATTCATTTTATTCTGAGATGAATTCTACACTGCCCAGCACGGTGCCTCAACCAAGGTGGGGAATAGTCATCAGCAGGGGCAATCAGTGTCTGAACGCACATCCCTGGGTGTGGTACCTACGATTGGTGCCCCGTGTTCTTAGGAATCTTTCAGAAATAAACAGTCCGTAGACCTAGCTTTCTCGGTTTTCATATTTGTTTTTTGATTTTTAAACACTGGCCTGTGAAGCCGCTTTAAACACCACGTGCAGCAAGTTGTGTTATAAATAAGGACACCAGGCCAGGCATAAACATGACCAAACCTAAAGTCCTAACAGTGATTTTGGAATTTGCAAGCTGTGGTGATGTCAGTCGAATCGGGCAATTTGAACTGACGGACCAGCCAGCCATGCGGTGGGGAGCTTAGTGGCCTGTGAAGGCTTTAGGGGAGCTGGCCAGCTGGAGGCCGTGCCAAGAGGACAGCTTCTAGCTGGGTCGCCTGGCTGGAATGTTTGCGGTGAGAAGATGGATCAAAGGAGAGGCTGAATATCACAGCAAAATCTAAAAGGCATGGCATGAAAGTATAATAATAATAATAGTAGTAATAATAGTAATAATAATAATAATAATAGAATAAGTGCTTCAATTTTCATGCCTACTGGGTGACAGCAACTTTAGATGCATTTAATTTAGCTTAACTCTCTTCCAGCATCTGCGGGCTAAATTAGATCATCCATTTTAAAGACTAGGCAACCAAGAAGACATGGGCCAAAAATCTGCTCGTGGTCATATCACTGGCTATGGAGGGAGGAAGT